TTTATAATGAATAATTATATATACTGACTGCGTTGGGGAAGATAACGCGATTGTTATCAGGAGCACTAAATAATCTCTAATACTTTATTGGGTAAATATGAACATGATTATTTACGAAAGACATACTAATAATATGCATGCACAGAACATATACAGTATTACCCAAATGGAAGAGGTGCGAACAGAACGTAAATTTGTGCTATCCATGCGAGGCACCTTGCCAACAAAATACATGTGAATATAGTTTACTTAATAAACACACTAATAACAAGTTTATACAACGAGACAATTAACTCCTATGACAAGGACAGGCACGTGACAAGGACAGACACGTGACATGGACCAGGTACATAACAAGTTTACGTCGAATACAGTCGGTACTAACATAGAATAATGATTACAGAGGTAGTATTTAAATGTTTTGACACTGGAGAATGTATTTGGTGGGGCCTCTTTACAAATGCTATTCCATAATTTCACGATCCTGTTGAAATACGAGTTCTGGTATGTTGTGGTTTTGCACAGTGGAATCTTAAGCAACAGGTTGGGATTATGACATAGACGAGAGTGGTTATGGGTTACAAACGAGACATACTCATGAACATTGACATCAGAAAGACCATAAAGTGCCTTGTAGAAGAGGATTAGATCTTTTATCTCTCTATCGTAGCACAAAGGTAGTAAGTTCAGATCGTTGAGACGTTCATTGTAGCTGGTGTCACCCTTCCTAGCTTTCAATATCCATTTAGTGGCTTGCATCTGCACTCGCCCTATCTTTATCCTCTGTGAGCAAACATATGGTGACCAAACTTTACAGGCATAAGTTAGATTGGATTTCACTAAGGAAAGGTACAGAGTGCGGCGAACACTGACGTCAGTCAAGAAGGGGCATGTCCTCTTCAATAAACCGAGCAGTTTGTTCACTTTAGCTGTAACCCCATAGATATGACAATCCCATGAAAGATTCCAAGTCATTGTAACTCCAAGATCTTTCTCAACATGAAAAAGAGTGGTTGAGCCCAGTGGATATGGGAAATCCACCAACAACAAAGGTTGTTTCTTTTGCGACACAGTCAACACTTTGCATTTTAACTCATTGAACTTCATATTGTTGGTATTGCTCCAGGTGGCTAGGTTTGTTAAAGTTTGTTGTAATTGGCAAGCATCATCTTCACAAGTAATTTTCCTGAATGTTTTTGTATCGTCAGCGTATAGGGCAGATTCTGATTTTTCAGAAATGATGTCGGGTAAATCATTAATGAATAATACAAACAACATTGGACCAAGTATGATACCTTGCGGTACACCAGATGTTACTTTGGACCAACCTGAAGCAACACCAACCCCCGATTCCAGATTGACAGCTCGAATCAGCAAACAAAAGTATTCTCGTCTGGGACCACCAGCATCAACAGCCCCTTCGCTACTTCCGCTAATGTCTGCAAATTTAACAGAGACTATACCCTTCGGGCTAAATTTTGACTTTTTAAAATGTCGACAGGGGTCAGCCCACAGATGACTACGTCGGACATTTATGTATAATCTAGTTTCCAGGTGATTTTCATTTGAGCAAATATCCACCAAAATGGATTGTAATAAGACATTATCATCACTAAAAAAAACAGATAGTGTAATACAAAAACTGACAGCAAATTTGTACTTCTGGCCCTTGTGTTAAGAAGAACTCAATGAATTTTTATGTTATGCCATCCTGCACCTTTCCTGTGCTAGTGTTATTGCTTGGTTGTCATCTTCATCTGAAATTTCTATTTCATCTTTGACTATGATGCTTTCGTAATGGCTAGAAAGGGTTTATCGTAAGTTAACCATGTACTTCATTGATGGCAATAACTATTGCCTGCGGCATTGCAGGTTTTCTAAACTAATTTGAGAGTCTAATAAAACAGTTAAATAAATTTCAATACCATTAGCATATTACATTTAATGTTTGTAACAAGAAACACAAAAAGATAAACAACCCAACAACCACCTTATTTCTTCATTTGTGTCAGAGTTTTCAATCACACCATTCTTCATTAAAAGGAGAGCTTTGATTCAAACCAGAGTCTGCATCCAGAATTTCAAACTGAGGTAAATTTTGTAAAAGATAGCAGTCACTAGAAACGACTTGAACTGATATGAATGCAATCAAAAAATTATTTAATACTTACAAACGGTAGAATATTCATATGTGTCACACTAATTTTGGGCTGTTGCTCTGCCATTATGTAGGAAGTTCTTATCCTGTCAAAATATTCATTAATAATAATAATAATAATAATATAAGAGCACACTAACAGTAATACATGATTAACTGAGAAGATGGGTAAAATTTTTAAGGCAAACAAAATTATTATATATTTGTCTGTATATTACTGGAAAAGTTATGGATCATCGGATAAAGGACCTGCATGAACAAGGCTAATAGAGCGATATTTTGTTGCATAAGCAATCTTGTCATACTGCACCTCAAAGACTTAAAAGTAAACATCGGTGCATTATGATCATCTTCAAATAGATGCTTGAACAAGTTATAAATTTATGCAGACATTTGGTTTTCGATCAATAATGATTCAAATGTTATCTTTGCAACCATACCATCTTCCACTAATTTTGCCCTGGTTTCCTTTCTTGGAATTGCAATACACTTATTGTTTGAACTGTTGCATGGTGAAATACAAATGACATTTTCGGTGTGACGTTTCGGTGTTGGGGTTGCTCTTCGTCTTTTACGAAGAGAAAATCTGGTTGTTCCTCCAAATGAACTATGTAGGGGTGCGACAGGTGTGATCATTGTTGGCCTTCCCCTATTAAATTTTAAGACTTTTAAAATCTGGACTTGTAATCATGAATCCAAGATTTGAATTCAGTTTAAACAGTTGAGTTGATGTTGACAAAATTCACTTGTGTAATCCTTGACATATCAACACATCCTCACTCCTAGATTACCTATAATAGGTAGTTGTCAAAAGCCTCTAAATTGCCAATATCAGGTAATCCAAGGTGCACAAATGTAACTTCAGTTTTAGCTATATAGCTCAGCGTTCTCAAATCTTCTCAGATTTCGTCTTGGTGTTCTATAAAATGGCGTCCGCTAGCGGTAGTGTAAAGCCGAGTGTAAAGCATCGTAGATCATCGAAACAAACTCAAAGTTTGGAAACTAGCCTTGAAGAATTGCAGAAAGTAGCGAACATTTCGAGGAAACCGAATACCCGAAAAGCATCTAATTTCTTTTATTCCTATCATGGTTCTGGTGAAAGAGTTCCATCCAACAAAGGATATAAATATTGAACACCGGCTGAACGAGCTAGAAAAAGGCCGGCTGCTACACCGGCTGAACCAGATAATACTGCTAGTACGTTGATCGTGAATGCTACTTCATTATTTTGTATCTGTAATATGTAATCGAACTGAGCATAGTGCTTGTTTTTATATCAAATCTCAACATATCTTGTAGATGACTTGGCTAGTGAAATAGTGCGACTAGATGAAGATAAATCCATTGACGAATTTTCAAACAGCACAGCAGATTCGATATGCTTTTTATATAATAATAATAATAAATCTCGTTTATTTTGCTCCTGGTAATTTTACAATTAAATTAATACCAATTTACATCAATAAAATACAATCATTATATTACATTTATACAATAAAACTATACTAATTAAGTTAATATATGGATTAATATCTATATCTATATGTTAAAATGTTTTTACATCTATCTGTCCGGGTCTTCCTTATACCTATCTTGTTTACATTTCCTGATCTTAGACTGTACCCATGCGTGTTTGACTGTGTTGTTTTTGTAAGGTGGTGTAGTGTATGATTTGGGTCTTCTAACTTATTCAAATAGTTCCGAGTCTAGAACAAATACCGTATGTGTAGTGTCATACTGCATTTGACCTTCACATTTTGTAATTTATTTTTCAGAAAGTTTGAGCACCTGCATAGATGCCTGTGGTCAAATAACTGAAGAAATTAGGTCCAACACTCAGTCACAGTGGACAAAAATAATGATATCAGTTGAAACAAATTGGGAAAGCAATAGGTGTTCTATATTTGATGCTCTTCTTAGTAGCCATGCAATACCATCTCCAGATGCCACTTGCTTTCTTTGTAATGAGGGCAATGCTGTCATTCGCTGTCATCAGTGTGGACCACGAGTATTGATGTGTTCTACTTGTGACCAGCGCATCCATGAAAATAACCCCTTGCATGACCGTGATGTGTGGGTGAAAGGTTTCTTTCAGGAAATACCTCCAACAACCATTGTATTGGATGATGGCTCCTTGGGATTTGTTAGTAAGTTTTACAACTAGTTCAAACTATTTTGATATTTTTTTTACATACACTAAATATATTATATGTCTCATGTCTGCTGTCTTTGATCAGTTTTGATCAGCTGCTAGGTCAGTGAAATTACAAACCTAATGCATTATTTGAAGAGAGGCTATTATATCTTACCTGTCTTATTTCAACCCATTATAGGAAGATGTGCTCCATTTGCTCTGTGTGAGGCATGTATGTATTGTAAGGGAAAAGACACGCTCATTCTTGCTCCGTCAAATGAGAATTGCATAGTTATAACTCCAAGAGGTTAGTATTAAGTAATAACTTGTCTGTTTTACAAAATTGATTGGCAAAAATTTCCCATTCAAAACTTTTATGCTGAATTTTGTAATAGGATCAATGTGAATGCTCTATTTTCCCTCAATATAGGACGGTATGACTTGTTCCTTTGTACATATCATTGCACAAAGTGTGAAAAAGATTATTCACCTGTAGTTTTGGACCAAGTAATTGCTGAAGGTTATTGGCCTGGAAGTCTAAACCAACTTAACCATGTTTTTTTCCCAAGATTTATTTCGCCTTTGGGATTCTGTAAGGAAACATATGCCTGGGACATCAGAAACAGCATTCCTTAAGTCACTTGGGAATCTTTCTACCAAAACTGGCAGGGTACGATGCATATAATATTTACTATTTAAAGGAGCAGTGTCATCGTGTGCGCATCTTTTCTGCGCACGTGAACTTGAAAAACTACTGCCGTAGTTTTTCAAGTTTTCCAGTCCAATATGGCGGATTCGCGAAGAGGCTTGCACGGTGGCAAACGAAATAATTGCGGCCGGAAAAGGAAGTACGAAGGACGAAATGCACAGAAAAATTGGGACAGAGAACACAGAAGAATATTTGTATCCTTGACGATATTTAATTCTTGGAAAGATGCCAAAAGTATTGCAGGATATGAGTTACGTAGTGACAGTGAATTTGCAGCACATCTACTTTCACTGGAATATCGAAGAAGGTAGGCATAAATATAATAGCCATTATAGCGCGTATAATAGTCATTATAGCCCGGATAATAGCCATTAAGCTTTAAATGCCCTGTTCGATTAATGCGCAGATTATCATTATTATACAGGTCTGATGAAACAAGGGGATACATTCAGCCAGCTGAATGCCCTGAACCAAGTTCGAACATTATAAATATAAACACAATAGGTAGGGTTTTGAGATGTCATAGTTTTTATACTGCAAACAGACGATTAATCTTCAACGTATAGTTGTATATATTTAGGCCAAAACGTAATATCAACACCGATAAAGAAGACAATGAAGGATGTATTGTATAAACTTAAATGGTATTATTAAATATTTTGCAGACATCATGACATTTCCTATTCAGCCCTGCAATATTTGAATGCTGACAGGGATCTAGAAAGTGATGATTCAGAGACAAGCAGGTACAGTATGTATTCACTGCAAAAAATCGAAGTCTACTCTAGCATAGTTTTCTTATTACTGTAAGATTATTTTCCTAATTCTTATAAGAAATTATTTCTTGCCAAGAAATATCTTATATTAATCAGAATTATATTCTTGTATCATAAAATTACATTCTTGCAGTAAGAAAAAGGTGCATCACAACATTGTGGTTGACATGTTAAAATAGATTAAACTTCAAAAAGTCATTTTAAATCCTGACCTGCTTGCAAGCTTCAAGTACTACACACAATTCCGGTAATTATATTGTATCATTAGATCAATCACCACCAGATGACAATAAATATTCACCATTTATTTTGAGACAAATGATTAACCAACTAATGTCCCCTGTCCTCTCCCACCCCTCCTCGCGAAATTTCAAACCGTTTTTTTACTTTTACAGGCATACAGGCTCCATAGAATGTGCAAACAGTCTGAGCTTAGTATATACTCCAAAAAGAATGCCATTCAGGTTTGCCTCTACTACATGTTCAAGCATTAATCATGTCTTGTCTATCTTAGGACAGTTCTAAAATAATATATGTATGATGGCATCTAGTTACAGAGCATTCAAGGCAAGAAAGCAATTGACAGCTATAGATTGGAACTTTCACATTAATCTCCCACAAGCTAAGAACAAGAGTACTGGAGATGTGATGGTCACACGGAAATACAACCCTAGAACAAGAAAATGGGATGTAAAGGTTGTGAAAGTGGAAAAGGGCTATGACTACATCCCATTACTAATTGCAAAGGTTTTCAGAAGCAGAGAAGATGAATGACAGTGTCACACGAAGTGTGCCTCTGAATGAAAGTGACCCTGGCCTTATTGCCCAAACAATTGCACACATAGTTCCACCTCCCACAAAAGAAATTCCTAAAAGAAGTAGATTTGAACAGAAGAAATAAGTATCATTAACTGTTGCTATAAATAAATTGTATATAATAGTAAACATAAAAGCTTGTTCATGCATGCAATGTCTTAATCAATGTTCTCTATAACCCATATACACTCCTGTAATGGATGGGTACTGTTTTCGTATTTTCAATACTACGCAAGATGGACAAACCCTCCTGTTCCCTTTTCCTAGATGCCCATACCGTGCCAGAATAAATTGTCTATATGCCGCTTTTCTAAAGGCTCGTGTACTATTATCCTCTCGATCATTCCTTATGTCGCTGGAATTCCGTATGCACAGCTGTAAGACATCAGGATCAAGACACAATTTTTCAAACCTTGATGTCAACGATATGCAGCTCTTTAGTTTACAACATCGATTTTCGATTTCTTGTGGCATGGGTTGACAATATCCACATTTGCACCAATCTGGCCCTTGTGCAGAGGGTTGGTTTTGAGGCAGATCAGGAGGGTTGCTCAGTTTCCTCTTCAGACTGTGCTCCAAATTCACCCATGTCTTCATCCTCTTCCACAAGATCATCATCCATAATAAGCAATGTATGAATATAATCCATGCTTCCGATGCCTCGTCTAAGACTGCGAATAGCCAATTTTCGAACCATATCTTCATCCAGTGTGGCTACAAAGTCCTAGGGCAAATTAAAGCCTTTATCCTAACCCTCGGTGTAGTTAGTTTTAAGAACTAGTTTGAAAAATTGATTGGACATTGTTTACATATATTACCAAAACTATATTAATCTTGACCAACGCAATCAGTATATATCAGTAATTGAATAAAAATAAGTTATTAAAGAAACTGTTCTACCTTTACATCCTTATTTTCTTTTTCTCTTTGTATTTCCTCTGTCTCTCTTGGCTCGTGAGTGAGGCGAAACCCTTGCTGATTCATACGTCTAACTTTACTGTTCGTTGGTTTCCCCCGACTTTCACCTTCATAGTTTGCTGCCGCTTTCTGAAACAACGCCATATATTAGAAAAGTGAAGAAATTGTAAAACAGAAAAATAATTTATTTCAAGCTTACCTTATTCTTGCAAGGTTTAGCACGAGTGCCGCATTTGCACGCTACAGAGCAATCCATATTTGAACCTTTGCAAGGGCATCCTCGATTCGTATTCGGTTTTCGCTTCACGCTACAAGAGCTCTTGCACTTACAATATTCAACCTGCGCTAATTTAAGAAACATGATATGCATTTGGTATTTATGTTGAGTAGACAAGAAAATATGCATAGTTTTGTACCGTCGAGCTTGCCTCAGGGGACGCCATTGTTCAATATTATTTAACGCACCGAACAATATCCGAGACTTTCCGATTCGTTTTTTGTTATGCGCAGAAAAGATGCGCACACGATGACACTGCTCCTTTAAATTCAGTGTTAAATGTACCATTATCTCAAATACCTTTTTTCACATAATTTTTCCTTAGTTTTCTACCATTAATACGGCAGCTTTTCATCGTGCATTCAAAGAATGGTGCTTTGCAATGCATGAAATAGAATTGTTGCAAGGAAAAAAGTGGATTGACTGTCCCTGTTGTAACAAACTCCAGCATTCCTGCCATGTGGATGGCAATGCTAAGTTATACAGATATAGTTGTGTTCCAAGGTACTGTACTGTAATTGTACCAATTGAACGTAGAGTTCTGAAAAGTGATAATATATTATGAAACAAGAATTATATTTTTTCATACTGTACTTGCAGAGGTGAAAGAAAATGCTATTATGGCAACCTTTTTATTGAAGAAAAAGAATCTGTCGACTCGCATTTAGAAATTGTATATGCATCAGCTGCATCCAGGGTATAAAATTTGCTAAAACACTATTATAACTACTGTTGATATTAATCTAAACACTAACACTATATATATATATATATATATATATATATATATATATATATATATATATATATATATAATTATACCTTAAGCGAGATTAAACACGGTGTGCAATTTTCCTAACATTTTGTGCAGATGATATACGAGATGACAACCTTCGAGAAAGCGAATTAGAAAGTAGAGTTACATTCTCTTTTTAGAGAAACTCTGGCAATGCATACTGTGGTACATCTAATTGGAAAGCTGCCAGGAATACAGCAAATGCAAGATCAAAGCTGGATGAAACTGGTCTTCAGGTTGCTGGATGCCGACATGCTCTTGCTCAAGGCGCAGTTAATATGTTCCAAGGTGAATAAATATCCGATATTCCTTTTTCGCTTATTTCTAAAATAACATTTAAGTGACAAATTCCCCGAAATTAAACTATTTCGGGCTTATTATGAAGATTGATCTCTTGTGGTATAAGACTTTTTTATTTATACTTTCATCGTTTATGGTAAGTATTCGTCTGTGTAGGTAAAAAAATTGATAGATAAGAACGAGCAGGAGCTCAGGATGGAAATGGACACAATCAGTTCTGTAGACCATTTAGAAAGCGGTGTGTTGGAGATGTGGAGTCGGGCAATAGCCTTGTGTGGAAGACGTATGTACTGGGTTTATATTGCGGCATGTTGCGCAAATATATTTAGCTACTACTCCCTAGTTATGAAGGCTTAAGTTTGTGTCGATAGTACGAACAGAGATGATAATTCTTTACATTATGTTAAATCAAATTCCATTGTTGGTTTATATTGATATTTTTTTACAGGCAGCCATCTTGGAGAAGGTAGTTTGTGTAAACAGGAAAATGATCAGATACAATACTATCAGCTCAACCCGGAAGTATCTCAAGCCATCTCTCTTATACCAATTTTTGAAGAGGCTCGTGATGGTGCGGGCGGCGCACTTGTCACCGGGAATGACGAGTTGTTTAAGCAAGTGTTAGGAAAGCAAGAGGATCTTGAACGAAAGAAAAAGCAGCTGGCGAAACTGAAATTGAGTATGAATATCCGAGGATGCCATACAAAAAAAACGGAGGCTTTGGAAAATGGAAAGAAACTCTTAGCTTCTCGTAAGCTTAGCCAACTAAGACAAGAAATTGAGATGTTGAGTTTTTCAATATCTCAAAGGGTGTAGAATATTGGCCGACTTGCCGGTTAGAAACAACAGAATATATTTTTGAAGTGTATTTTATTAATTACTTGTCATAATTACTCAAACATTGTGCATGACCTTTCGTTAACAGACTCTTCCAAGCAGAGGTCAAGGTTGCGGAGCAAAAACATGAGTGAAAAGAAGAAACGTGAAGACTTGGTTTCGCAACTCAATTATATCAACCAGATGCTTGAATAACCAGGCGATGAGATAACATCTGTCCAGGCTATGAATGGGCATTTTCCATGGATAGATAAAGACGATAGTCGTGGTATTTTAGTATTGTTGAGTAACTTGTTCACTTCATAATTGTGATGCATATGCATGGCGTAACATTGCGATTTTTTTCCTTGTATTGTAGATGTGTAGCCGTTACGAGCAAAAAGGAAAGCGGTGGAATTACATCTCACTGGTAAAAGATTGGAAGAGGAAGTTTTATTGTTGGAGCAGGAAATGGTTCAGTTTCTCTGTTATTACAGAGATACTATTATCCCTGCACTTGTATCCCGTTTAGAAGCTTGTGATAGAGGTACGTATATATATATATATATATATATATATATATATATATATATATTATATTATATTATATTATATTATATATATTATATATATATATATATATATATATATATATTATATATATTATATTATATTATATATTATATATATATATATATATATATATATATAATATATATATATATAATATATATATTATATAATATATTATATTATATTATATTATATTATATATATATATATATATATATTATATTATATTATATATATATATATATATATATATATATATATATATATATATAAACTTAAGCTAGATAGATTAAACAGAGTGAGCAATTTTCCTAACATTTTGTGTACACTTTTTGTGCAGATGATATACCAGATGACGACCTTCGAGAAAGCGAATTCGAAAATAGAGTCGGTGATCAGGTATTTTACTATAAGTTATAGATACTTTTATGAATGATATTGCTTTCGTACAGTACAATATGTATTATACATTTATAGGGGAAATATAAATCAAGCACAGGAAGCCGATCGCGACTTGCATTGAACGGAGAGAGAACCTTAATTAAAACAGGGATATTTTGGGCGAAATCAAGGCTAAAGGAAGGCATAACTCTGTTTAAACATATCCCAGAAGGGACATTGGATGAGCTGGACTTTTTAAAGAATGACGATGATGACGACGGTGATTATGATGATGTTGATGACGACAATGATGATTTTGGGGAAGATGATTATGATGATGGCCACGAATCCTAAATCCAGCAACAATGAGTGGGTGGCACCCCATGATACCCCTGCCTTCGGAGCAACTAATACGGGATATTACCTCCCGGGGGACTGGAAGCCTTGGAAGCCTTATAAATATGAAGTCATAAAATTAAAATGTAAAGCTATTATTCTTTTTTTTTCCACTTATTACAATCTTACACAAATTCATTAGGCAGATTTAGCAAACACGACGCGACGCCGATATCCATAGACGGGCACATAATGCCATATTTGCGTAGCATTGTGTTTGCCTAATATTTTTGCTTATTGTGTACGTTGCACACTTTTGACAATTTTCAGTAAATGCATGGAGGTGATTTTACGGTCTGTTCATATGGGGTGGGATAGCTCGGTTAGGTAGGACAGCGATCTAGCGATCAGAAATGTATTCATATGAGCTGGGATATTTGCCGGGTAGAGATTGCCTTACTTGGATGATTGTAAATGATGCTATTAAAGCATGCTTTTTGCATTCTGGCTTTTAAAATACGCTGACATTTTAGTGTGTTACGCCGGTATCTCACCTTGAACACAAGGTTGAGAATATATGAAAACACTATATACGGGGTGGGATCTCGGCACAACGTCAACATCCCAGCTAGCCGGGCTAGCCCACCCCATATGAACAGGCCCTTATAGCACTTTATCATACTGACGGCATGTTTTTGTATACATACATGCATACATACATATACTTTATTTAGGCACGGAGAACCATCAATACATAATTTGTGATAAAATATAAGGATAGAGCGAAATAAATATAAGAAAAGTATGATAGATAGATATATAGATAAATTATAAAAAGAAGAAGTACTGTTCTACCTGGTTGCCGTGTGGGAGTCGGTAAATCTGGATGAGTATAAAGATTCCAGATTTGCTTTAAACGAGAAGAGTGATGAAGAATCTCTTAAAGGTTCAGGCAAGCTGTTCCAAACCATACGTAAGATATAAGCACATCCAAATTGCAGATTATAAACAGTTTTCAGTAAAAGGGAGTAAATTTAGCACCCCTATCGTAATAAGTTCATATTATTTGTGTGCTGAAGTGAATAAATTGGGGAGCCACAAAATTGACACCCTCGCTAAGTAGAGAGTTGAAACAATTTTATCAGAAATATATAGGTTAGTTATAAAATTTTGTTTTGATTTATTTAAAGTTTACCGACATACCCTTTACTATAGTAATGAGCACTTTCCAATTATTACAATTTTTAAGCAAAACCCTAACCCTAAGTATTAGCAAAACAGGGCAAAATCGTCAGGGCACGCTACAGTCTGTCAGTAAATTTCACAAATGTTTTATTCATATAAATCCTTATTTTGCATGACTCAGCAAGGAATTGGGATGGAGATCCCATTTTTGGCCTTTTCTCGAACTGTCAAAGTTCTTTTTATGTTTTCCTTAGATAGTCTATGTTTTCCTTAGATAGTCTAAGCTTTTGTTGCATTACAAGATTACAAATTTACCAGAAAATTTTGATGTAAAAAAGTAACGTCCCAACGTCATCAAACAGTAGATAGACTTTGTTTGATTGTAACATCTTTATGCTACATGCTACTACTTGAGGACAACATTTTACAGTTAATTGACTAAGAATATAAGTAATTACTTACAGTTACTTCGTTCATTTATTTTGAAGTCAATCTTTCAATATAATTTACCATGTGAATAAAAAATCTCATCAGTTTAAGCACAGTTGTTTAGGAGTAGATTAGTTTATTTACTAACATTCTCATGAAAACAGAATCACAAAGCAACATGGGATTTGCGATCAAAAGCAACACCATAATTACGGCCCGAAGCATTACGATAATTACGGCCCGAAGCATCACCATAATTACGGCCCAAAGCATCACGATAATTACGGCTCGAAGCATCACGATAATTACGGCCCAAAGCATTACGATAATTACGGCCCAAAGCATCACCATAATTACGGCCCAAAGCATTACGATAATTACGGCCCGAAGCATCACGATAATTACGGCCCAAAGCATCACGATATTGACAAAGTAATGTA